CTCTGAATAAGAAAGGCTCTCACAGGCCCGTGTGTTGGAATTTTTGGTTCCCAGTTGGTGGAACTGTTCGGGAAGGGCTGGGAGGTGTGGCCAACTTGGAGGAAGTTTGTCGCTAGAGTTGGGCTTTGAGGTTTCAAAAGTCCACGCCCGGCACAGTCTCCCTCTCTGGCCCCTGCTTATGGATCAGATGTAAGCTCTGAGCTATTGCCCCGGCGGCACCACCACGATCCCTGCTTGCTGTCACGCTCCCCACCAGGATGGTCACGGATGCACCCTGTGGAACTGTAAACAAGCCCTCAGCTATACGCTTCCTTTTATAAACGGCCTTGGTCGTGGTGTCTCTTCACAGAGATGTAGTGGTGACTAAGATCCTCCCCATCACGGAATACACTGGGCATTATTGGCGGACACCCGTCACCCCAGTGCTCTAGAGGGGGAGGCAGGAGGAACACACAGCTCAGCACCTCTTTTCCCGGTGACATAGCAAGTTTTGAGGCCAGCCTGTGAGACCCTATCTTAACAGAAACAAAAATCAATAAAACGGGGTTCACTGATCAGGGTGCAATTAGGCAAGACAGAGAGTTCCCGGTTAACGTGAATAATAGAGAGGGGCAGAAACAAAAAAACCCAGTACAAATGCCACTGTATGCCCAAGCCATTGATCCAACCTGCCCATCCATCCCTTCTGATGAATGTGCTGCCACTCCCCACCCCTGCTGGGAAGAAAACTGCACGATTGCCACTTCCCTGGAATAGCCGGCAGCGGCAGACATTGATGCCTAAAGTCAGATTGGTAGGTGCAGCCTGGGCTCAACACCTGCAGAGAAAATGCATGGTGCACTCCTCCCTGGGTACCATCAGGCAGGGCGGTGCTGACTCACGGCACCCTTTGAAGTCCTTTGGCCCTGTATCAGTGAGCACCAAGAAACAAGCCCTACCTGCCAATTTCCATCACCCCCAAAGTACTTCAAAAAGACCAGGCAAGGCAGGAAGTTCAAAAGAACGTGCCCACAACCGCACCACCTGTAATCCAGGAAATTGCAGGCACTGCCTCGTCACTCAAGACAGACAGACAGGGCAGGTGCCTCTGCACACCCCTTCCGAACTGCAGGCCTTGTTCCTCAGAGTCACTGCTCCCGAAATTTTCCAGCACTTAAAAAGAAATCCAGGGTTTGGCACCTGTTTGTTTCAGAAATACTTGCTAAAAACGGATCTGCCAAAAGGCCACCTCTAAAATTAGTCATATTTCCTGCTCTGCAAAACATAGTAAAGGGTAATTTTTAGTAACTTCTTCACTCCAGGTATCTGGTACCGTTGTGTTCTGTGCGTGATGACTTGCAACTTACTAAGCAGGCAGCCCTTGGTTTTAGCCCCAAAATAGCTCTAATGAAATGTAGAAATGGGCTTTTTAGATAAAAAAAAAAAAAAACCAAAGGTTGGAATGAAGTTATCTGGGATAGTTTAGCGTGCCCTCGGCCTCTTAATCACGGGTGAGGTGAAGGCGAGGTGAATAAGTTTGCCTACTAAGCCAGCTGCGCCAGAGAGGTCCCTGTTCTTTCCCTCACCAAGTCTCTTCGCTTTGTTCTTAAGTATTTTTAACTTTATCACATTCACGGGGTTGGGGGGGGGGGAACACACACCAAAGGGCACCTTTGGAAGTCTCCCCCACAGGGTACTGGGGGAGGAAGCATGGGCCACCGTGGTTGCCAGCCAACACCTTGTTCCACTGAGCCATTTCGGCTATGTTCTTCGACATTTTAAAATGTGATGGTTACTTCGAGGGCCTAACACGGGTATTCCTTACCTATCGAGAACCGCTGTGAGGCAGCAAGCCAGCCTCCCACAGTCTGTCGGGGCTGCTAGCCCAGCAACTTTGTTCCCTACGCCAAAGCCACAGTGAGGGATGCTTTTCTGAATCTAACAGAAGACTTCCTGGTCCCAAACATCACTGCAGCCATGACTAAGAAGATAGTAATTAAGAGTCTCACATCATCAAGTGAATATTTGTTTACTTTTATAAAGCCGCATGGACAGGGTCTGTCTTCCGCTGACCAGTAAAGGACAGCAAAATTGGGCGTCAGCCCTAAGTCACCCTTTGTGTTCGGCTGTAAAGGGGCCATCTAGAGTCAGATTACTTCCATACAACTTCAGAGGCCACTGAGGTTTAAAAAAAAAAAACAAAACACTGCCCTGTCCTGCAGGCAGCTGCGGCAACAGGAGCCTCTTGAGGAGATAAGGTTGAGCCCAAAATGAAAGTGGGGGGAAGGGGACTTGCTTGTCATCTGGACTAAGCCAAGGATGCCCCGCAAACCCTGGAGGCTTGTATCCAAAGCATGCTGCAAATGCACACCTTATCAAAAGCACTCACTCCCCGCCACCCACGCTGCCTCAAATGCCTCCAACTAGCAAGCGTCTGGATTTGGCCACACATCCACCAAAATAAAGCACACGCTTCGATAAGAGACGCTCTGAGACAGACGGGATTGGAGACGGCGTGCCCCCATCTGCCCTCCAGCCTGGTCCGTGCAACCATTTCTCAGGACAAGCTACTTCTCACGGCAGTACTCACCACGGCGTTCTGAGAAAGAAAATCTACACCCGGTAAAAATGAAGGGAAGCGGTGAAAGGTTTCAGCTAGCAGTGTGAATCCCAACAAAGGTGTAACGGGGGGGGGGCGGGCAGGCTTCCTCCACTGTCTGCCTCCCCTCCCGGACCTGCAGTTTAGTTTGCAAATGACCTGAGGCTACCCTCACTTTTCCTTTATGAGGCAAAACCCAAAACAAAGGAGAGCTGGGGACTCGTTAACTCACTAATCTCTCTCTCTCTCTCTCTCCCTCTCCTCCTACTCCCTCTTTCTCAACTCTACAATCTACTAAAGCCCACGTCTATTAGTTGAGCTCTAAAGGTGCAGGGTTAGGGAGATAAAAGCTATGAATGGCCACTGTTTCTTTAAAGTTCACAACTGAAAAGGCTAAGCCCGGGAGTCCCTCCTGATGCTCTGTAGTCCCCGGGAGCAGGGATTCTTCTGGCTAGAGAAAAGCACAGCAGGAAAGCCCAAGGTCTGCAATGCAGGGATTCCCTCCATCCAGAAGCAGAGTCTCTAACCAGACCTCATCAACTGGTCCAGGGAAATCATTTCACATCCACCAAGCATCTCCTCATTGCAAAGATGAATTGAGCCATCCATAAAGACAGGAGGAAAAGGACTCTTCATCTGGACCCCCAGCTGGGCAGAAATTCCTTGTGTTCCAAGGACTCCTCGTTGAGCAGGAGTAGCATAAGAGACCAGGAGGGAAGCCATGAAGGATGGTGGACAGGGGTAGAGGGGCTGAACTTTGGATGAATCCCCAGGCAGTTCAGCCAAGGCCAAAAGTGTCACGCCTTGGGACAAAATTACACCGGTGAAGTGCTGAGGTCCAGCCCAATACGGCTAGAGCCTCTAAGGAGCTGGGAGTAGCGGGACAGGAGAAAGGGAGGCACTGTGAGGTGGCAGGAACATCTCGCCTCTTCCAGGAGGTGGTGTGCAAGGCCAGGATGAATTCTATAGGTTAGGAAACACCCAGCAACCCAGCACCCTGAATAGACCTCGGGGTATTGGGCAGGCAGGCAGCCCACACACACACACCAAAGAGTAAATAAACTTTTGCTTACTCCCGTTGGGATGACTAACGCGGGGTCTGAAGAGTTTGTTCTTCTCTGAAGAGAGAAACTGAGTGCATACTGAACGCTTGCTTTCCGCCTGGAAACTCTGCCAAGAGGCACTTTTGAAAATGACTCGGTTTAGCCCTGTATCCAGTATAAAGGGGCACCCCGCTTGGGACAGCCACAGAAAGAGAAGACCATTTCCAAGGATGATGGAGCCCAATGCTCAGACATAGGGGTCTCCAGGACAGCAGAAAACAGAAGGGAAACAAAGTATCAGGAGGCTAGGAGCAGGCAAGCGCAGCAGCTTGGCCCTGTCACCAGAGAGAGTTCTCACAATTTATCACTGTCACAAACTCCTAGGCTGGGCTGGGGGACTCAGAGCTGCAGGCACAAGGGTTTGACCCTTGGACTATGGCTGCTAGGACTCCCCTGAGCTCCCCTCCTCCTCCTGCAGCCTGGGGGAAGTGCTGGAGTACAGTGTCCGGGTGAGGATTCTAGCTAGCTCTGCAGCCCGGAGCAATTAATTCCCTGCTTGGGGCCACCCAGCCTCAAAAGTAAGCCAGCCTCTTAGGTTTCTTCTCACAAATCTAAGTTACACCTGAGATCTGCCCACCCCGGGCCTGGCAAGAGTTCACACCCTCTAACTTCTAATTAGGTCGAAGTAGTGTCACTCCACGCGTGGGGGAGGGGCTCCTTCCCTTTACCCGCCCCCCCCCCACGTAAAAAGTATCTCCAAATCTCTCAAGTCCGAGGCCTAGCTGCGTAGTCCTGCACCTGCCAAGAGCAGGGTCTTTACTGCAAACTGGACAGCTGCCCCAGCCCACGCAGGGGGAAAGAGGGTAGCTTCCAGGGCCTCAACTCTCCGAGCCCAGGTCCTCACCAGAGCCCAGGAGGGATGAAAGTGTAGGCAACCCCAGAGGCTGGTTACCCTGCTCTCCCGCCTCACATTCCTCAAGCAAGGCTGGCCACCCCCCCCCACTCCACCCCACCCCGCACGCACACACCGGTCTAGATCAAGTTCCATCGCCCCTTGGGTCAGAGACAGCAGGACACCCCCACCCCCACCCTCCCTCTGTGCCTGGCCCCGGCCCCTTCTCCGGCGTCCGCCAGGCGGCACCCTTCCAAAACAAAACAGAAAGGCAGTGCGGGGTAGTTTCGCGGGTACATCTATCGGTCCGGGTCCCCCACTCCACGAACCTGCACCCCCCACATCACCCATCAGTAGATACCTGGTGACCCATTGCGGAAGTCTGAGCTTGAGTCTAGCTAGCTACATCGGGTTGGAGAGCCAGGCGGAGTGCTCGCGGGACAGTGCTCCCAGGTCTTCCCGCCAGGCCCCCCGAGCCCCGGCTCACCTTCTCTCCGGTCAGCACGTGCAGCCCCCTCGCGCACCTTGGCGAAGGAGCCCTCGCCCAGCTTCCTGCTGCCGATGAGGTAGTTGCCCACGCGCTTGTGGTGCTGGAAGTCCCGGAGGCGCTCGCGGGACACGCCGCTCACCCAGGCGGGCAGGAAACTTCCCTCGCAGGCCGCCGCCGGCCTGGCTGCGTCCTCCGTGGCCCCGTCGCCTCCGGGCGCCGCCGGCTCGCCCAGGAGCCCGTCCCCCGCCGCAGCCGGCATCGCTCCTGCTCGGCTCCCGCGCTCGCAGCCGCTCCTCCTCCGGCTCCCCGGACTGCCCTGGCTCCTCCTGCCGCCGCCCTAGACCCAGCCCCGCCCGGCCGGGGTCTTCGCGCTCACGCCCCCCCCCCTCCGCGCGCCTCCGTGCGAGCGCGGCGCGCAGACAATAGCTGGAGACGGGGCGACCGGGGACCCGCCCCCGAGAAGTTCGTCCTCGGAGGATCGATCGCCCAGATCGCGTCCACCGTCCCGTCGGGCGTCCTGCCCGAGTGCTTGGGGGGAGCGGCTGCTGCCCTGAGAGGAGCGAGGTCGGGTGGCGGGGTCCCCCAAGCCCAGGCGCCGCCGCCTTCTAGCCCGCCGGGTCGTCAGCGGTGCGCCCCGCGGCCGCTCCCGCCGGAGAGGATCGCGCGGCGGGCTGCAGGCGCCCTCTGGAAGGCAGCAGAAGAAAGCCTCATTCAGTTTGAATTTGCAGAAATTTAATCCTCTCGCGGGCGGCGGGGACAGGCGCGAGCTCCACTCGGCAGCCTGAGCACTTTCAAATCCCTCGTAGCCCCTCCTTCCTTCCCCGCGCGCAACAGCCCAACTCGACCCTTCCTGGAGAGGGGAGGGGACGGGAGCGGCGGAGTGGGCGGCGAAGCCACCTGAGCGCCAGACAGGGGGACCCCGCGCGGCCGCGGAGACGCGCGCTCCCGGGCTGCCCAAGACATGCTGTCTCCAGCGGCCCGGATAGCACTGGTTCTGAGCTTGAGCTTTCTGGACCTTTTGGGGGTGAATTTCCGCGCTAGCCGCATCCACCAGGGGTAGGGGAAAGAGAAAGAAGATCTCTGGATTGTAGGAGGGTTACGTACCCAGCCCAGAGTAGGGACTCTGGACGATGGATGGGTGGGTGGGTGGATGGATGGATGGATGGATGGATGGATGGATGGATGGATGGATGGATGGATGGATGGGTGGATGGGTGGGTGGTGGGTGGGTGGGTGGGTGGGTGGGTGGGTGCGTGGGTGGGTGGGTGGTGGGTGGCTGTATCTCCGGCCGCGCACTCAGACCAGATTGCTGGGTTGGTGAAGAAGCAGCCGCCACAGTCAATAGTAGTGGCGGCAGCGTAGGAACCAGGGCGTTTGCTGCCTGTGCGTGTACGTGTGCACCCTCTCTGCTTTCCATAGCGATGATGTCGGTGTTTGCAGGGCGATCCGGACCCGGAGCCTCGCCGCTCCTGTATGCCTTTGTTCTCCCTGCTCTGTGACTGTACTGGTCTCACATAAACAATGACATCTGTTCTGAGACACCTACCCGATACTTCTAGGATCGCCAACATCTTCCTGAACCGAAATGGGGGGACACACACACGCACAAAAAAGGATGCAGACAAGCCTTTCCAAAATGCGACCTGTTGAGGTGACCGTGTCTAATGCAAATAATCTAACCTCCGATCCCACAGCATCCGAGCTCAACGGGAGGATTCGGTCCCAACAAAGTTCATTTCATTGTTTACCCCGCAGTAAACAGGTATGACATCATCGACCCACATTAATGCTCTGAGATGGGGGAGGGGACACAGCTGTCACCATTCCAGTGGGGGTTCCCTGGCCTATCTCAAACACACCCCGAAGAATGCCCTCCTCAAGCTTAAGCACCAGACGTGTTTTTGAAACACCTAGTGCTCTCATTCCCCCGTGCTACCACGACCCCGTCCAGCGCGTGTCTTCTGCAGGAGTCTCGTTGCTCTGTGTTCCCACACTAAAGACAAGCTTTCCGCGGCTTTCTTACTGCGCTTAAGGGACTTCTTAGCTCCTGCAGGGCTCATCCAATCGCTTTCATGTTTCTAATTCAGTAATTTAATTTTAAGAGGGCAGGGGTTGGGGAGGCAGAGGGGATGCTAGGTCCAATGTGTGGGAGGATGAAGCCCACTTTGGGGTAGATCCCCCCCCCCGCGTGCCAGGAAAGGATTTAAAGTTTCCCAATGTTGCATTAATTTAATTTTGGGGAATTAGCTCTTTGTGAAAAATGCAGAGATTTGCTTGTTACAGTTTTAAGACAAATCCCAGACAGTACTCATCATTTATGGAGAACCACTTCATAAGTGGGGCAAGTCACTTATGATGAAATAGAGACTTTCTTTCCTTTTAATGTTTTGACTATGCCCTCTCAGGGTAGAGGTCAGGAAAGCAGAGAACAGGAGAGAAAACACGGGCCCATTAAATCTTCAAGCCTACTGCCTGGGTCTGAGCCAAGCTCACTGCTAATTCTATTGGCTGGGACGGGTGCCAAAGAGAAGTTCAAATCCCACCCCTGCCTGTGTTTAGTAAGTGGTTTTTGAACCGCAGTTCCTGCTGTCTGAAGTGGCTTTGCTCAGTAAGGAATGACCCCAGAATTCACTTCATAAGACAAATAGCACACAGAACACTGCCTCGCCCTCACACTAGGTGTTATGGAAATACATGACTGTCACACATCATTGAAGAGCCTCTACTAAGCCCCTGCACTTGTAGGGTTCCTCTAGGCGGTACAGGTTAGCTGCCTTTGGACTGGAGAGATGGCTCCGTGGTTAAGAGTCTGCCTTGCTCTTCCAGAGGACCAGAGATTGGCTCCCAGCATGCACGTTGGTCTGCTCACAGCCACCTGTAACTCCAGCTACAGGGGATCCTGTGCCTTCTAGCCTGCAGAGGCACCTGCCCTCCGGTGCACATGCTCTCCCACATACATACATACATACATACATACATACTTTCAAATAAAGTATTTTTTAAAAAAGTGTCTGTCTCCATCCAGCTTGGCTTTCCCAACTCCCCACCCCCACTTATCCCATGCTTACTTCCAAACTGCGGCTTCTGACCCGCTTTCACCCATCAGAGGTGTTCTGTTAGGAGAAGCCCTTCCTAACCAATGAGCTGCTGTAAGCTGCTGGCCCCTCTGTTCCTCCCACTGGGTACCATTCAGCTTCACATCCTTCTAGAAGTCTTCCATATTGCTTATTGGATGTCCTTTTTTTAAAAATTTATTTATTTATTACATATACATGCCAGAAGAGGGCACCAGATTGACTTATAGATGGTTGTGAGCCACCATGTGGTTGCTGGAAATTGAACTCAGAACCTCTGGTAGAGCAGTCAGTGCTCTTAACCTCTGAGCCATCTCTCCAGCCCCTGGACGTCCTTTTTTAGAGCCAGTGGACAAGGGCATTGTCAGTTGGGTTTGTGTTTTGCCCAACAGTGCCCAGCATGGCGTCGGAGCTACAGACTTGTCTAAAGAGTTTTGTTTAGTTATTGAATGTTGAGCGATCTTTTCTTACTTGGAGCCAGCAAGACTCCCGTCTTCCCTCAGGTAGACCTTACAAATAACTTTCTAAAGTTATTAGTTGTTACATTGTTGCCAATCATTTACGGTTCTCAGACTTGGAGGAGCGAACCCTTTCAAAAGCGCCATCCATCACAAGTGGCCAGGGGAGCCTGGAGAAGCTGTTTCGGTTGACTCGCGCCAGATGCTTCCTTCCTGCTCTTCCTCTTCCCCTTCTCCTCCTTCCATATGGCCGAGAGGCTGTTTGCATGCTCCCACAGTACGCCAGCTACAGGACCCAGCTGCAAGCAGTCAAAGACAATTAGAAATAATCATGCTGGCACTGCCAGGAAATGAGAGTCGGCTAGGACGGGTAAGGCTGGCAGGGGTGGCTTGGTAGCTGGAGAAGAAACAGCAGAGGGAAGGCAGGAGACGTGGAGAAGAGAGGCTTGGAAGGTGTCCTGAAAAGTCAGGGTGCTGCAAGGCGGAGCAAGCGGTAAACAGCAGACTCTGGATCTGAACCGCGTCCCTGGAGTTCATGGCCATTGTGAGTCCTGTCACACAGCCAGCTGTTGACTGTAAGTCATAAGTTCCTAAGATCGGTGTGCATGGGCAGCCTTGCATTGCTGGTCCCCCACAACAATGACTTCTCAATAGGGAATAGCGACAATTCACCTCTGTGCCTCAGTTTCCTTAAATGTAGAGCAGTGTTTAGCTCAGTCGCTGGCATATTATAAACGTGGCTATTTTCGCTCGCTCTTTCATTGGTCTTGACGACCTTTCTGTTGCGGTGGAGAGCCATCATGACCAAGGAAACTTATAAGAGAAAGCATTTAATTTGGGGCTTCTTGTTCCTGAGGAAAATAGGGTCTAAGATCGTGATGATGGAAAGCATGGCAGCAGGCAGGGGCAGAGGCTGGGGCAGAGGCTAAGAGCTCACATGTTGAGACAACAACCTTGGGGCAGAGAGAGGCTAACTAGGGAAGACATGGGCTTTTAACATCTCAATCCCATACCCAGTGACACACCTCCTACAGCAAGGCCACGCCTCCTAATCCCTCCCAAACAGTTCTACCCACCGCAGAAAAAGCATTCAAACATGTGAGCCTTTCGGGAAGAGATGGGGCATTCTCGTTCAGACCGCCACGCACACCAAGAGAAGGCAGTTCGGAATGTCCCAATCCTGCAAATCCCTCTCCTTGAAATAATGAGAGTCATGTGTAAGGACACGGCCTCCAGGTAACCTCTTCCTTTATTTCAAGTCTCTCTCTTTTATGGGACTCAGATTCTACCACTTCCTGGCTCCTTGCACCCATATGCCTGGCACATTGCAGATGCTCAACCTGGAACTTCATCTCAGCTCTTATCTCCGTGGGAGAAGAGGGTGATTCTGGGCTTTGGACGGATGGACGTGTCAACTAGAATGTGACAGGGTGTGGATGGTGGTACGGAGCCAACCCCCACCACTGCTTCCTAGCAGCCATCACAATGACATTCTGGAGCGGGGGCGGGTGGGAGTGGGGGAAAATTCTTCACACAAGATTCCAGTGGCTGCCCCTCTAGGAGAGTTCTGCTTTTTACTCGGCTGTGCCTGCCCCCAGTCCCCAGGAGCCTCTCTCTGCTCCGTTGCAGGGAGAGCAATGTAGCCTCCACCTCCGCCACCAGGGAACTCAGGACTCTGGGATCTGAATCCCAGATGGAGGCATTGAGGAGGAATGATATTTAAAGCGGCTCACAGGGAGGACACCGCCATGCACAGTCCTCCCGAGTCTCTCGGGGGGAAGTGGTGTGCAGTCTCACAGCAAGCCAGCGCCATCCGTGTCACTAGACAAGGCCGTGGGGTCTGCCTCTCACCCTGGTGCCACATCCGTGTCTCATGTCACCTGTCCCCTCCGCCACGGTAGATTGCGCGGGAAGCCCGCTACCCAGGGAACGCTCTGTGATGCCTGGTCTTCAGAGTATGCCCCCCCCAAGGACCCACAGAGCTGACTTTCTGTCACCATCCTGTCTTTATTCAAATGTCACATCCTGTGTCTGTCCTGTGACCTTTTCTCTACAGTATGAACAGACCCCAACCCTGCCCACACCTCCATATTCTTTCCCTCTTCTTTTTTTTTTTCATAGCACTTATTGCCAACTGAAAATTACATAGTTGCCTTATTATTTTGCTCATTGTTTGTATTCCTTTCAGGAAATACAGCCCCATGAGGGCTGGGATTTTGGTTAAGTGTGCTGCGCATGGAGCCTGACTCCTGGGAGGAAAGCAAATATAAATTTGTGGTGGTTGGATGAATTTTTAACTCACCATAATACATAAGACAGAAAAAGAGAAATTGCAAGGAAACTGGGGGTGTGGGGTCCTTCTGGAGATTGTATGCATCCCAAGGGCACACTGGGAAAAAATCAGTATTCATGCTAGAGATTAACCCCTGTGATAAGTGGCATGTGTGGATTATAGCTGGAGTTGGGAAAGGTCTACCACAGTACCAAGCTTATAGACCATGCCTGGCTGGGCGCTTCCCCCTGTCGGTTTCTGGACACAGCCCGCAGTAGCAAGAGTGTGAGGGAGTTATAGAGCAACCACACGGTGAACAGCCCTGTGTGGTTGCAGATGGAGACATGGAGACAGGAACAGGAAAGGCATTGTGGCATTGATTCAATAGCCGAGCCCAAATGGATGGCTGGCCAAGCCCTGACTGCCTAGAGCAGGCAGACGTGCTGACCAGAAGGGGTGAGCGCCCCCTGCTGGTGGACACCGCTGTTTTCCCTCCACAAAGCCAAGCAAGGGACCCACACAGTGGTTTCTGATCTCTGAGGGTCGGCTTTCTTCTTCTGGAAAGGGAAGAACATTTTTGCGTGTTGTTATTGTTCTTAGCACAGCAGTTTTATATCGCAGTCACCGAAGATGCAAGTCAGAAAACGACAAGTGCCCAGTAGATCAAGAGTGAATGGTTTTGAAGACCTGGTTGTCAGCTCCTCTTCGATGGAAGCGTCTGGGAGCATCCTGGGGGTAGAGACATCTCCATGTCTTGTGCTCGCCACCACAGCCTACCCACAAGCCTCTGCTCCTGCCTTCTTGACCCTGACCCTCCGGTTTGTCTCTTTTGAAGCCTTTATTACTGCCAATGAATCTCTATATGGAAATATTGAAGGTGATAGGATCAGGAGATAGGTCAGCCAATAGGTAGACTAGACAGACAGAAAGTATACAAAAATAAAAACAGGTAAACGATTGGAAAAAGCAATTAATAGGCGGCATGCAAATAGATACATTGATAACGATGGTGATGATGACGATAAATATGTAGATGAAACCAAGGTAACCACGGATAGACAGGCAGATACGTGAGGTGGGACCTAGCACACCTACCCCGGTACTCGGGTTAAGGCAAGAAGATTGCTAGTAGCTCAAGGCCAACCTAAAACTCCACGGTGTGTACCCAGGCCAGCCTGAGCCACATGCGTGAGACTATCTCTCAAAAAAATAAAAGAGAGAGGGAGGTAATAGGAAGTTGGAGGACGGCTAATTAATAGATGGTAAGCAAACAGAGATATGACTTCATTAATAAACTAGGTGACGGATAGATAACAGCAGAGAAGCATATGGTACCTCGATCAATGCTTAGTAGAAAAGTTAATCGGCAGATAGCCATGTGATGGACCCATCGACAAACGCCGAGGAGAGGGGATGGTCACTCTCTCTGCACAGGTGCACCTGAAGCCCTGCCCTCTCTGTGCAGGTGCACCTGAAGCCCTGCCCTCTCTGCGCGGGTGCACCTGAAGCCCCGCCCTCTCTGCGCGGGTGCACCTGAAACCCTGCCCTCTCTGCATAGGTGCACCTGAAGCCCTGCCCTCTCTGCGCGGGTGCACCTGAAGCCCTGCCCTCTCTGCATAGGTGCACCTGAGGCCCTGCCCTCTCTGCGCAGGTGCACCTGAAACCCTGCCCACCGAGGCTCCACTGCCGACCTCAAGGCCTCCCCAAAGGCCGCTACAATCCACTTGCTGTCTGTGACTTGGACCTTCCTACACCACCCAAGAGCCAAGTTTATGCTTTTCCTCCCGTCGGGGGGGGTCATCGGTAATCCCTCCTACCCATAGCCACAGGTGTGAGCTCAGGCAGAGCCCCGCGTGCAGTCATGAGGTTGGGTGGCTGTTTATGCAGCTGACTTGGTCCCTCAGGCCCTGCTCAGACATATGTGAGACCTCAAGGTCCACCTCCACAGAGATACACTCGCTTCTTCCAACAAGGCCACACCCACTTCAAGAAAGCCACACCTCCAAATAGTGCCACCCTCTCTTTTGGGGCCACTACAAAACCTGTGAGCTAGTCTAATAACTCCCCTTTATATACGCTCATTCTAGTCATCTAGAGCAGTGGTCCTCAACCTACCTAACACTGAGACCCTTTAATAAAGTTCCTCATGCTGTGGTGAGCCCAACCATAAAATTACTTTTATTGCTACTTCATAACTAATTTTGCTGCTGTTATGAATTGTAAGGTAAATAGTATGTGACCCCTGTGAAAGGGTCGATCGACCCCCACGTTCAGAACTGCTGTTCTAGAGAATACTAATATAATTCATATGCGTGTAGTAGGATCTTGAACTAACAGAGGCCAGGTGGCTGTGCTGAACCACCAGAAGCCAGGCAGGGGCAATTATCATGATGACAATAGAAGCTGAGCAGTGCCCAGTTAGAGAGCTATGTCCATAAAGAATATGATATCCCTAGGGGTAAGACAGATGGCAAGCAAACAAAGCCATTATTTCATTTTATGCCCTTTGAGGAAGTCAAGGGTGGGTGACCAGAGCATGAACGAATCATGATCATTAGCTCAGCTTCCAATCTTAATGTCCCCTAGCCCCTCAAGTGGAATGTAGGCCACTGGTGCTAAATTTTGAATGTTTGTGTCTCTCCCAAAGGTCACTTCAAAGCTTAATTCTAATGTACGGTATTAAGACCTGTGCTAGGCTCTGCCCTTGTGGATAAATCTCTTACAAAAAGTGCTCGATTCACAGAAATTGTTAAACACACACTTATGAGAGAAAGACGTGACAGAGGGGCTGGAGAGACAGTTCAGTGGTTAAGAGAACACATTGATCTTGTAGAGGACCAAGTTTGGTTTCCAGCACCCCCGTTAGTGTCCTCAGCTTCCTGTAATGCCATCTCCAGGGGGGACCCAATGGGCACTTGCATTCAGACACATATATGCCCACACACATATACACATAGTTAAATGTAAAAATACTGTAGTTTAGCCTGAGAAAGAAAAGCATGGCAGAGAGCTAGGTGTGCAATAGCGACGATAAGTCCCCCAAGGACATGCGACATGAACAGCACGCAATGTTCAAACAATAAACCCTATTTAGATCAACAGCGTCATACACCAAACGCAAACCCAACTTGAAAAGAAAATCAGTCAGGGAGTATACATCTAGGACTAAGCAAACAGATATAAAACAGTGTAGCTGAAGCTGAGTCCGGGTTTGCACCAAATTATAATGAAAGAATTCAATGAGATCTGCCTTAATTCAACTCAGAATGACGCTTTTAATGAAGTGATAGACGATACAAGAGAAAACATGTACAACAAAAGGACTTTGGTGACCGGGGTTGCGTTTACATCCAAGGTGATGATGTAGAGTCCAAGGCAGGAAGCCCAGCACCAAGATAAAACAACACCGTGGATTGGAAGGATCCAGCTTACTCCAACCCAAGAGGACAATGCGGGGGAAAGATGATGCTATCTGTGAAATGGAAGACTCTGCTTCCATTTTCCTCCTGCTGTTCTGACTTGCTAGACTTCCTGAAATCATAACTAAGAATTCAGATATCCTAAAAATACTTTTCTAGTTGTCTGTGGACCCTAAATGGGACTCATCAACACCTTTGTGCGGCACCTATAGAAATATCTGAATTCGCCAGGCGTTGGTGGCGCACGCCTTTAATCCCAGCACTCGGGAGGCAGAGGCAGGTGGATCTCTGTGAGTTCGAGGCCAGCCTGGTCTACAAAGCGAGTTCCAGGACAGTCTCCAAAACAATACAGAGAAACTCTGTCTCGAAAAACCAAAAAAAATAAATAAATAAATATCTGAATTCATCACAGGCACTGGCAGACGACTGGATATTCTGTCTCCTGGCCTCATAAGTCATGAGTACAACCCTTTGTTGACAGGGGCCAGGCTCTTTCAAGGGACACTGGCACCCAAAAGATAAGAGGAAATAGTATAGACATCTCTATACTAGTCCTGGAAGGCTGGCTGATCCCACCTGGTCAGAGCCTCATGTTCCAACTGCAGAGTCCTTAAATCCAAATTCAAACCTACCAAAGCACTCCTTGGTGACAACAGATCCCATCTCTAACAGAAATGTGTTTGGTCTGAGGGAAAAAAAATGTTCCTCACATCTATTCAGCGAACTTACATAGACTAATTTCACATCTGCAAAATTGTATGTTTATTGAGGAAGACTCAAAGGATCTTAAATTGCCTGCTATTTCATCTTTTCGAGCTCGTCGTGAAGCTCTTCCTCTGTGACTTCTCATCTTCCTCTCGGGTTCCAGTGAAACAGATAGACAGCAGGAAATACGCACATCCCCAGGCAGCAATGGGGGAAATGAGGAGGCAAGGCTCGAACTCACCGTCACGTACTCCAGCAGTCCTGCGGACGACACAAGACTTAAAGACTCTCAAAGGGTCCCTCGTGGCCAGGCACGGTTGCTCACACCCGTAATCCCAGCACTCGGGAGGCTGAGGCAGGAGGACCACGCGTTAGAGAGCAGTCTGGACTCTGTCTCAATACCAAGAATCAATAATGATCTCTCACAGTGACATCTCACTTAGTTGACACAGACAAAGGGCACGGTCAGAGGACGGGAGCTTGAATTCCACAAATGTTCATTAATTAGTAACAGTCACTAACAATGACCATGTCACTGAAGATAAGTTCTGCTCCTGGATGACAATCTACTGCTGCTGCTACATGGCCAAAAGGAAAAATAAGGATATTTTAAAAATTTGCTTTCAGTCTAATCACTTGGATCTGTAGTGCGAATTCTAATAGGTCTTAATAATGAAAACCTGGAGTCAGATATCGGGGTAAATGCTGAAAGATCAGAGAAGCCAGGGAGCAGCCACTAGAGAGACTTCTTACCTCTACCAAATCTTCAGACCCAAGTGGACAAGATCCTGTCTCCACGAATCCTCAGACTGAATGCAATGAGCTCCTGTCTCCTCCTGCTTTGTATTCCTCTCTCCACCCAGACACATCACTCCTGTCTCCACTTCCTTAGGGCTGAGATTAAAGGCATGTGACTCCCAAGTGCTGGGATTAAAGGTGGCCCACCACTGCCTGGCTCTGTTTCTACTTTAGACTGGATCACGCTCATGTAGCCCAGGGTTGGCCTTGAACTCACAGAGCTCCCCCTGCCTCTGACTCCTAAGTGCTGGGATTAAAGGTGTGTGCCCCCACTGCCTGGCCTCTGTGACTAACTAATGACTTAGGTCCACACTCTGATCTTCAGGCGCCCTTTATTTGTTAGATCACAAACAAAATGTCACCACATGGATCCTTTGGTATTTTATTTCACTGTCATACTCTAAGAATGATAGGCGGTTGGGTAGATACACCTGCACACACACACACACACACATATACTCACTCATATGTAAGTATGTATATACTTATGCCTATACATGGGAGATACATACACACACACACACACATATGTGTGTATATATGTATCTCCCACTAGTTGGTTAATTTTTTTATATTTATCTTATTTGTAACTTTGTGTATATGTGTGTCTATGTATGAGTATGTGCACATGAGTGCAGATGCCCTTGGAGTCCAGAAGAGGGCTTTGACTCCCCTGGAGCTGGAGTTACAACCAATTGAGATCTACCTAATACTATGCCAAACTCAGGTCCTACACAAGAGTAGTGTGTACTCCTAACTGAGCTATGTCTCTAGCCCCTGGTCAGTTGGAGTTCTCAGACAGAATCTTATATATATTAGCCTAGGATGGCCTCAAACTAGTGATCCTCCTGCCTCAGCATCCTGTGGACTACAACAACAGGTATGTAACCCTACGCCATTCTTAGATAAACAGATGTTTTGTAGGCCATTGCCCTCATACTGTTGACCCCGTTAGACACCACACCAAACAAACTAGACATTTGATATTATGAAATCACATACAGGATGTGCAACTTTCTAGTTACACTTTATATATTTGTGTGTGTATGTGTGTGTGTGCACGCGTGTGTGCGAGTGTGGAAGTCAGAAGACAAGTGGCTGGAGTTTGGCTCTCCTCTTCCACTGTGTAGATCCCAGGAATCGACCTCAGGTTGAGGTCGCTTTTGCCCGCTGAGCCACCTTGCTGACCCAAAATGTGTAACTTTAAGCAGGTAACATTTAACACAAATTCAGGGAGAGGCTGACCACACAAAAATCACACATAAGGTAGATGTAGAAATACGTAGATTAGTAGTTATGGGTTAATGATTAAGGGAGAGCTACCCAGTAAGAAGCCCTAGCCATCGGCCAACAGTTTTATAATTAATATAGTGTCTCGTGTGTTCATTTGGGGCAATGTGGTGGCGAGACTTCGAAGGACAAGAAAAACACCAGCAACGAGTAGAGGCCAAGATTCAACCACATGCACCTCTGGGGGACAACTGGACCACAGTCAAACCACAGCAGACAGAATGGCACTTCACAAGGCTAAGGCTTAAGGGCCAGAGAGATGCCTTTGTGTTAGGAGCACTGGATGCTCTTCCAGAGGACGTGGGTTCGATTCCCAGCGCCCACATGGTGGCTCGCGACCATCTGTAACTCCAGGGAACCAACGCCCTCCTCTGGCCTCCTGCAGCACTGGACAGACATGTGGTAACACCGACACACATGCAGACAAAACGCCCAGGTACTTAAATAAAATTGTTTTTTAAAAATTAGGAATTGAGGGAAAAAATGTAAGCACTAAGAACACCGTCACATTTTAAGGCGTATGGCTTGTTATAACTGACTCAAATCTAAAACTTGAATTTTCTCTCTGTCTGCCTCTGGGCTCTTGGTGTTGTTGTTGTGAGTTTGCAAGTCAGGACTGACGTGTTGCTGTCACAGCCCTTGCCGTGCAACCCGCTTTGCTCCTCGAAACGGAGACGAATTGGTTTGCAGCGGGATTCAGTTACTATGGGCACATTTCATTTTCAAATCTGAACACCTTCACAATGATGTGGTATTTTTAGAAATCCTTCTGATACTTCTTCTCAGTAGTACCACTGACTTTATTAAAATACCAACTATAACAAAGCTAAAATCAAAAAGGTAAGTGTTTAGAATGAAGAGCACAGTTATACCTGATTTTTTTTTAAAAGAGAAAATAAGTTAAATTTAAAATCTACAAGAAGAACAAGAACACTAGATAATGTTCCATTTGGATTCTTTAGAAACTAGGAAACCATACTGTGATATATATATTCAAGATTTCATATTTATATGTGTGTATAAAATCTTGTAAATGTGTTCATTTTTTAACCCAACAATTTTAGTTCTAGGAAATTATACTTAAAAGGATTCCTTTTAAAATATGAAAAGCAGGCTAGAGAGGTTTCACTGGTAGAGACTTGCCCAGCATGAGCAGGCCCTGGTTTTATTCCTAACACCATGAAACAAAATAAAAAAGATATCCTAGGTTTTTTTTCAACATGCAAAGACATGCATGCCAGAAAGCAGCTCCTGTGACACTTTCTCCAGTGGCATAGCCACTTACCAGTGTCCACACTTTTGCAAACAAGCCCTCACCACACTCCACGTAAACGACTCTAAACCTCAATGAAACACATTGGGTCATCAAAAAACAAAACACAGCTGGGTGGTGGTGGTGGCGCACGCCTTTAATCCCAGCACTCGGGAGGCAGAGGCAGGCGGATCTCTGTGAGTCCGAGGCTGGGCTGGACCAACAGCCTCCAAAACAATACAGAGAAACCCTGTCTCATAAAAACAAACAAACAAACAAAAACATAACACAAACAAACATGAAGGTAGGAGAGAAACTGTCTGTCTGGGGAGAGGAAGAGGAAGAGTGTCATTAGATGGGTAGGAAAGAGGGGGTAACAGGGTGGGTGAATACAATTAAAATATGCTGTGAGTAATGCAATGAAACATTATTATATATGATTGATATACATTAATGAAAAGCTTTTTTTTTATTAAGGAAGGAAAGGGTATGTGGTAGGCATGGTGACACAGGGAATCCCAGAGTTTACAGGAGTTCAAAGACAGCCTGAGCTACACAGTACGTTCAAGGTCAGCCTAGGCTACATGAGACCCTGGTCAAGAAACAAAATCAGAAAGGGGGGGGGGAGGTAGGGAAGAGGAAGAAAAAGAGGAAATGCAAAATTATTTTCATAAATATCTCTTAATTATCCCAAAATGTTCTACATAAAAATATCCAATGTAAACCTCTGTGGTCATGGGTTCTCCATCCAGAGATTCAACCGTGGATTTTACGTGCTGGGAGTGGGGAATGAGCGGCCTGCTACTCCCTGTGTTCCCCTCGCTCTCTGACGGTCACACACTGCCCATGACAGAATGCTAATGGAAAAAGGCTCCGGACCGTCCTGTGCTGTCAAAAGGTCAGGGGCAGCCTGGCCACGCATCACCAGTGTCACTCGTGGGAACGTGTCATGTCATCGTATGCCGTAAGAAGCCTGGCCACGCATCACCAGTGTCACTCGTGGGAATGTGTCATGTCATCGTATGCCGTACGAAGGGTGCGTGAGCATAGGATAACTGGAGTGAGGCCATTCTCCAATAACATTTGTTACAGTGAATTTTTACAGCTGTCCTATTTTAACACTAGAACATTTTGTCTTGGTGGTGTTTGACACTGAAGCCTTAGGGTTCATGCTTGTTAGCCACCCATACGCTCTACCACTGATCCACACCCCGAGGCCCTAATACAGCACGGAACATGCAGAAGCTGGTGTCACATGTGGCTTCGGGCATCCACTGAAAGTCTTGGAACAGGCACCCCAAGGGCAAGGGATGACACCAGGGAATCCAGTTGTCACCACTATGAGATCCAGCCAGCACAGTACAGTGACACAAAGGATGTGCAACCCACATCCATGTCATGGAGCACAACAATATTTGTGGATGTTGAACGTTTATGGTCCTAAGTGGATGATATTAAAATGCAAATGGTACCTTCTAGAAATAATCATTGAATTAAAATAGCATGTTGTATGCACTTAAAAAGAACAGGTATATTCAAACAGTGATGGAGAGTTAAGTATAGAATAACTGTGGTATTTATCCTGCTGGGTTTGGGACAATGTTCATGTACTCCATTTGTGGAGTCCCTGTTACATGCCTGGAATTGACAGTGCAGATTGGAGTTGGGAAGTCCATGTCCCGTCCTCTTGAGTATGTATGCGTAGGTGACAATTTAATCAGTAGAGCGTGGAGAGATGATATGATATGACTTCTGAAAAGACGCCTCTTGCACCTGGCTATGAAGAAACTCCTCCCGCGGTCTCCCTGCTGAACCGGTGTCTCACACCATGCCGTGTGTAAGCACACACGTGTGTGATCCTCTCCACCCTTCAGCCCGCCTTCAGCCTGCTCAGCCCAGGGACCAGGTGCCTCAGACAGGGGGCACCTGAGAAATGGTTCCTGCAGCTCCTTCAGCCTCAGTAGCACAGATCGAGACAGCACAGGGTCGAGAATGCCATCCCAGTGTGGCTGCTTGAATGAGAAAACACCTCCACAGGCCATGTGTTTGAACACTTGGTCCCCAAGTTGGTGGCACTTTTGAATGGAGAGTATGGAAACTTTAGGAGATGCATCCTTGCCGGTGGCAGACTTTATTGCAGTTTGCATTTCCAGTTCTCCCCCTCTTCCCCCACACACACCATACACACCAGCAAAAAATAAAAGTGAACGTGAAACAGAGAATAACATTTAACCTCAGCAAAAACCGCACACATAAAAATTTTTTCCCATGCCTGGAGACCGTGAGAAAGCTCTTTGGAGACCAACTTTAGAAAGCCTAATTGTCCTCAAGCCTGATTGCTGGACTCTGAAATCTGTCGGTGTGTGACACTGAGGTCACACTACCCTCGGGTAGCTTCAGGCAATGACTCAGCACAGGGCAGCACTTACCCAGCCCACGCCCGGCTTCATGTCCATTAAGACTCCTGCTGTCTGTCAGTCTCACCAACCTCTGACAGGACTCACGCAAGGTCCTGGACTCACAAGGTCGCTTGAGCTTTGTTTAGTAAGACCTGACACTGATGTCATGAAAATATCAATAATTTTCAAACAGGAAACCCCCCCGCGCCCCCCCCGTGTTTCTCCCTCGTGTAGTTGTCCTACTCAGAAGCAGGAGACACCTGGTGGCCAGTGTCAGCCCAGGGACGCCCTGGCATCCTTGATGAGCCAACCTGAGTACTGCCCACTAGTCAAGAACATTCCGCCCTCCCTCCTGCTGTGGCCTGACGTCTCTCCCACCTTTTTAGGCCTCTATCCGTTTTCTCTCAATCACGCTACATAGTAAAATCTCTGTGCGCCTTGTTACATCTCAGTGTCTGCCCCTTGGAGAGAGCCAGAGGCTTACCTGTCATTGGCACGGGGAGAGATCTGAGAATGTTTTACAGTCTACAGTCTGGTGGGCAAAAAGAAGATCCGATCGGAAGGTTGAGCAGTGACCCCGTTGCAGAAGATCGCCCAGTGGTGGACTGGAGGACGTGTCCAGTGGAGATGACTGTTGACAGCAGATGCAACCATGCTGGCATTTGATACATCTTGGTGTAACAGAGTCTAGAAAGGCAGTAGTTGAGGGTGAGTACTGCTGTTCTGGTGACCGGCTGCAGAAGGATGCACATATCTGTGACTGATCACAGGCTGCCGGTGGCACAGAGTCAAAGCCGGAAGGCCTGGGAGGAACGCACGTGCCCACACACACACACACACACACACACACACACATGCACGCGCACACACACGCACACACACATGCACGCGCACACACGCACGCGCGCACACACACACGCGCGCGCGCGCACACACACACACACACACACAAGAGGACCTGTCACTGCAAAGGAGAATGCAACACTGTTACACCAGCAACAGGGTGAAGATTCCGTGCTGATGCAGGGAGCTCCAGACATATTTGGAAGTTCAGCCAAGGCAGATATATCAGACCACAGTCATAGCCCTGGTGAGGAAAAACTGTGGATGCCACCCAGCCTGTAAAATAAACCAAACAGAACCAGACAAGAGAGAGAGAGAGCCCAGGAGATAGCACACGGCCTCTTGGATCTAGCTGTGAGAACCAGAGTGATGCCTTTGGTGAAGGCGGGTCCTGCGTGGAATTCCCTCCTCTCACACTGCAGAGTCCACAGCTTAGACATCTTTTTTTTTAAACAGAAAAGCATCTTCAATTTGTGTAGCCCAACTACTCCAACAACTCTGTAAGCTTTCTTTCATGCTTTTTTTTTTCTTTCAGAAAATGGGGGACGTAAGGGCTCACACAGAGCTTGGTTCTGTAAGTTGGTCTTGTTTCAATCAAGAAAATCCTCCGGGCAGTCTGGAATCCATTTCATTCCTTCCTACTCTGCAGCCCACTTTGAGGCTCCCTGCTGGCCTCGAATTTGTTTTACATAGGATGGCTCCAGATTACTCTTAAAGCCCTGTTCTCTGCAGCCTGGCCCGGGAACTAAGCTCTTCTATTCCTGGGGGAGTTACAGGCTGACTTTCTGCCTATGTGAATTTCTTTGTAATCCAGACCTTTCTCTTTCTGATGTTTTCTTATGCATTTCAAAAGGCAGACTGGATGTAGGGTGGGAAAATGGAGGTTGGGGGTGTCCCTACCCAGTGGTGGGGAGTTGTCACTTAGACGTGACAATAATTATTTCAAACTTATTTTAGTGCTTCGCGATTGTGGGATTCTCAGAGTGTGGCATGTGGGGTTACAACCTGGTCATAGATTGGGACGTGATTACTTACTGCACAGAAACATTCAAGCTGCAGATATTTACTCAGTACTTTGGTCTTCGCATTACCATTCCCAAACGTTGGCTGCCAGTCCCTACGGAAAGATCGTGTGCCAGTGACGTAAGGGAAGCCACTTACCTTGTTTATCCAGTGAGAGGCCAGTAGCAGACACCTGTAAGTCCCAGGCAGAAACTGTAAGAGCTGATGGAAGGTTCACCGTGTCCTCCTCCCCGGCCCCTGCCAAGGGCTGAGGTGTTCCTGACTGAGTCCCAGAGTCAACAGCACACCCAGGAGCCACAGAAGCAGCACGGTGGCCGTAAGTCATTCAGCCCAGTTTCCGTTGATAGGACAGAATTTATTATAAATGTCTCTAGATCATGGTTTGGAGAGTAGGGATTCCAGGACCAGGGAGCTGCAGCTGCTGCAAGGCTTTGAGCTGCATCATCCCATGGCGGAAGGATGGGGAAACAAACACGAAGCCTGGGGAGCCAGACTTACCACTGCCTCTGCGGCCGCCACGCCCTCCTCCTCCTCCTCCCCCCTTCCTCTCCTCTCTTCATCTGGTGTTTCTGTATGGGGTGTGTGTATGTGCGTGAGTGTGTGAGAGCGTGCGTGTGCGTGCATGCGTGCGTGCGTGTATATGTGCAGATTCACATGTACATACACGTACACCTTAGGAGTCTTCCTCCCTCCTCCTTCCTACTCAGATGTCTTCACTCAGCCACACGGTTCCCATCTCCAACTTTTCAGAACCCAGCCACCACATCCAATACTTTTATATGGATTCTGGAAATCGGACTCAAGTCCCCGTGCCCGCGTGAGTTCAAGTCCTCACTTTTAACCACTAGGCTGTCTCACCAGTCCCTCTCTTTCTAATAAGCTACACACACGCATGCGCGTGCGCGCACACACACACACACATGCATGCATGCATACACACACACATGTATGCATGCATACACACACACACACATGCATGCACACACTGTATCATCACTGTTCAAAGACTCTGACTCTTTTTTTAACAAGAGGAAAGTTTTTCAGTGGGGAAGAGAGGAGGTAACAGAACAGGCAAGTTGGGATTTCAGCAGCTGCTGGGAGGAGAGATGGAAAAAGAAGAGAAACATGTCTCTGCTTTCTGAGTTAGGGGGTCAAGGAGCAGGCAGAAATGAAGTCCTGAAGGCAGCTGCATTTCTAAGGTGGGATAAGCACTTTTCAGAGACAGTGAAAAGGCCCGGATTGCCTGCAGAAGCAGGCTTAGCTTTGGTGAGGGTCTAGAGTGGGAAGATGGAAAGGTAAACGTTATGGTTTCTGAGTTAGAGCTTAGAAAGTGGGCAGGCTTGGCTGTGCGTTCACAGGCCGCTGCATGGGGAGAGAGGCTTCAGGGATGCATTCTTGCAGACTTCATCGTGGGGTAATTGTTACTCCCATTTTCTTTTCTCGTCTTTAAGTGTGTCACAATCCTTCCCGCCTTCTGGTTCTACCATGGTCTTCTTCACGCTAACCCTTTCCCAAATGAGCTACATTTCAGCTCCGTAGACAGATCTATAAATTGTAAGCCCTGATTTCTCCCCTTGTCACAGGAGATCTGTGGCCCTGTCTGGGGAAGGAGATACATGCACGAGGATATAAGCAAGCATTAACCAAGCTAAAGGGGGTGGGGGAGGTGACTGCCGGCCAACCATGCTATTTATCAAAAGGTGTCCCAGCACTGCTAACAATGGCGGTTGAATTCAAACTTGAGTTCCAGCACTAACAAGCATTTGTAAACCACAGCAATGAGTGGGAGACTAATCTTTCATATTGAACGTCACTGAGATTTGAGGACCATTTATTTTTTTTATTTTTTATTTTTTTTGGTTTTTGAGACAGGGTTTCTCTGTATTGTTTTGGAGGCTGTCCTGGAACTAGCTCTGTAGACCAGGCTGGCCTCGAACTCACAGAGATCGCCTGCCTCTGCCTCCCGAGTGCTGGTATTAAAGGCGTGCGCCACCAAGGCCCGACGAGGACCATTTATTACAGACTCCCATGGTCAGCACAGATTCCAGCATATGCCCTTCAGTGTGCTGCTGTATAATTCACTTATATCTATTAGGTCATGGCCTCACAGTAGGTGCATATTAATGAAAAGAAAACTTGTTTCAAGGTGGGGCATCCCTTACTCTCCAGCAGATCCCAAACTTGCCTTGAGCGGTAGGTCGCTGTTACGGAGAGCTCAGCTGTGAGGCAGACACCGACAGAGACACTCTTGTGGAAGGAGTGACAGAAGAAACTTGGCAGCTTGTCCTCCCCAAGGATCACATCCAACCCAGTGCCAGACATCTGGCCAACAGTCAGCGAATATCTGTTGAATAAATAAGCAGGTATATTCATTCCCAGGAATTCTTTGAGAACTCCCCAAGGCTCTCTGGAGAATTTCGGATTCTCTTTCATGAATGGAAGACCCCTACAGGGTTCGGATGTAATGGTCACGTTAGTTCATGTGTGCCAAGCAAGGAGATGGGAACAAACTGGCAAAGACCCGGGTCTTTTTCAGCCAGTTATTTCTCTCTCTCTCTTTTTTTTTTTTTTTTTTTTTTTTTTGGTTTTTACAAGACAGGGTTTCTCTGTATTGTTTTGGAGGCTATCGGTCCAGCCCGGCCTCGAACTCACAGAGATCCGCCTGCCTCTGCCTCCCGAGTGCTGGGATTAAAGGCGTGTGCCACCACCGCCGCCCGGCTCAGCCAGTTATTTCTACGCCCTTTTGCTCACAGTTCTATCGGAGACGTTAGTGATGGCTGCTCACCGGCTCCGCTAAGTGTTTCCCATCACGTCGTCTTCTGTGGTTCAGACACTGCAGAGAGACTGATAAACAGACAGGGAAACGAGGGCAGGTCTAACCATTTACACGTTGGTAAGCAGTCCTAAAGCCGTCATTCAAACACAGTGCCTAGGGACAATGCTAAGAAATCGAGGAGCCTTGGGAGGAAGAGGTGGACCTCTGTGAGTTTGAGGACAGCATGGCCGACAGAGGAGCTCCAGGACAGCCAGAGGCTCTCACCGCAGAGGAGAGTCTTAGAGATAATCAACACCCAACACGTGAGTGGTAATTATTATAGCTCAGGCTTCCATTACCTAGCTCACCCATTTTGCCAATACGAAATTGTAGCACATGGTGCCTTGATGGGGAAATGTCCTTCTGTAGATATGTTTCTCTTATTGGTTGATGAATAAAACACTGTTTGGCCAATAGAGGCAGGAAGATAGGCGGGACCAGGAGATGAGGAGAATTCTGGGAAAGGTAGGCAGAGAGAGGCCCCTCAAGGAAATGCCATGTAGAGACCAGGAAGATAGGATAAGGTAAGGCCGTGTAGAAATGCATAGATTAGTAGTTATAGGTTAATAATTAAGAGAGAGCTAGCCAGTAAGAAGCCCTAGCCTTCGGCCAACAGTTTAATAATTAATATAAGTCTTTGTGTGTTTATTTGGGGCTAAAGTGGGCTAGCCAGGACCTGGCGGGAAAGAAACTCCAGCAACAGTACCCAAACTAATGTGCCCAAGGCCACTCAGCCAATGGGCATCTGGTCCAAGGTCAGAAGGGGAACCCTGGCTTTCACCACCTTGTCCTGTTTCCTTGAGGCAATCTGGGCCACATGGAGCTCTGTGAAGGGAGAAACCAGGAAGTGGAGAAGCTATTGGCTGTTCTGCAATTGACTAGTGAGAAGCTGAAGTGAGCCTGTCTACCGCTTCCTGGACCACTGTGTTTTCTGTCACTCAGCGGAGGAGAGGGAATCGTGTTATTTGACAGTTGCCTATGCTCCCCTATGAAACTAACGTGCTGAGTAAGTGAGGAGCAGGAAAAACCATGTAGCCGAAGCCTGGGTTTTCCTAAGTCTGGGTATCCGCACATTCCCCCCTTGGCATCTTTGAATATACGGATACGAGGGTGACTTACATACCTCCCTGTGATCTTCAGTGCTGGAGGGCAGCGTCCACAGAAGTGAGAACACGCACCATCGGGAACGGTATGCAAATTGGGATGTGAGGAAAACTCATTTGATTCTCCATCTGTCTCCCTGTTTAATTACTTAGCCATAAATTAGCACTTTTTACCAGCTATCTTCTGCAAATGTGATCAGTTTTGCTGACTTTAATGTCAAACCAGGGATACTTTTTGACTTTCAAGTATTTAGCCTTTTAATTTACATTCACATTCTAAAATATAAACTAGCCATTGAAATCTGCCCAAATGCAACATTGGGGGATTTCTTTTTCTGTTTATTTTTTCATGAATGGCATTCCTTTGACTGGATCATCGGTGAGATGCCTTTTGAAACATGTTCCCCCACCCCTAAAGGGCAAGAAAAGAAAAGTGTTTTCAACATTCAAAGGATGTAATTAGGAGACACATCCTGAAGTGTAAACCCGGGGTCTTGAAAACACAGTGCAGCTGGATCAAACGGCCTCAACCCGGCTTTTCTATCCTAACCACACACGGCTTCGATCAGCACAATCCTAGCCCTCCCTTGCAACACACCCCGGCATGTGCTTGTCTGCTGGAGAAATCCCTCTGCTTTTACTGGGTACTATGTGCCAAACCACTCTCCAGGCCCAATAGGGAAATACAGAAAACAAGGTCACTTCTGAGACTCTTACGGTGTCAGGGATGAGGCAGACTCACAGGGGCAGGAGGCACGCTGGGAGGCATCATGGCATCCTCCACAAGGGACCCCTGCTCCCTTTAGTTCTTGGCAACACGGTCCCAACCTTATCAAGGAAGACCGTATTCCCAGCTCTAGGCAGTGGATCAAGAGCAATTGACTATAATCATGGCAGCACAGCTCCCTGGAATCTCAGCTATCCCCGACTATGGAGAGCCGTGGAACACTGTATCCCCCCGACTATGGAGAGCCGTGGAACACTGTTCTAGCTCCTAAAATGTGATGGGACATCCCCAGAGCTCCAGGAAAGACATCCTCTGGTTATCGGCTCTGGGGTGCCTCTTGTACACTCTCTGTTGTGAATGCAAGTGTGAAATTTCGAATGAAATAGAGAACAGCAAAAAGAATTGCAAGGATGCCAGCCCTGAAATCTTTGAGCAACTGAATTACATCCAGACACCACCTACCTTTGGACTTTTTTATTGTGTGAGGAAAAATAAATCTGTTACATGCAACTGAAAGTATTCCCAGGATGCATCTCCATATATATAATATCCTATATAATATATATATGAATTACAAAACATATTTAGCTACAAAAGTACTAAAATACTCCCATAGAAGAAGAAGAGTTGCTAGAAAGTTAAGCTTTGGTTCCATGTTGGCTTTTCAACTGAGGCTCAAAAGTCCCAGCTGGTCCAATTTCAGTTCCCTCAGTTGGGTACTGACTCATCAACCCCCTAAGATTGTGTGCTCTGAAGCTTGGCCACTGGATAGAACAGATGCAAGACAGAGAACATGCTGGTGTTTTTAATGTACCCAGCCAGCTCTGGGAGAAAGGGTAGACACTGAGTGTCTCCCTGGTTTAATGTACCCAGCCAGCTCCGGGAGAAAGGGTAGACAC